GAACTAACCACTTCTAAAAATGTCAAAGTGTTTCATATATATGTATAGCATTTGTTTAGTCCCGACACCGACTCATCGATGCAGGGTAGTTTAAGTTATCAAAATCCACTGGTTGTTGACACTAGTCTAACTTTGAAAGAAAATGCAAGACCGCGTTAATTAAGGCGAGACAAAATCCTTTTAGTTTAAAATTGTTAGTAGAACAAGAAATGAATTATTTATTTTCTCAGTAATAGTTTAGAAAAGGTAAATACTTCTGAATATGCAATAGCAATAGTACCTATTCTAAAAATTAAAAATAACGTAAGAATTTGTGGTGATACTAGCATAACAGTACATCCACAATTAATTATTGGCGAATATCATCTTTCTACTGTAAATGAGTTATTCGCAGATTTTGCGGATTTTGCTACAATCGACCTCAAGCAGGCTTATTTGTAGCTTGAACTTGATAAAACTAGTTCTAAGATTTTAACATTGAATATATTGAATCGTGATAAGTACTGCTGGCCTAAGTGAGTTTAAGGAGCACTTAATCACTCTTCTCGGAAAATTAATTCGGCGAAGTCCAATTATACTTTGAGCGAACGAACAAAGAGTTTTCGTAACACAAAAAAGTTTATTTAATCAAAAAACACAGAACTACACACAAATAACAACAGAAATTTTAGGCGACAATAAGAGAAAGATAAGAAGGTATGTGTTTTAATTTTGACCGAATGAAGGTGACTGCTTTGGTTTTAACAACAGATGCAATTGTAGGGATGTTGGGGGGTGGCGGTACGGTCGTTACAATTCAAAGATGGTATTGATCTTAGACAACTGAAAATTTCTAGAGCATAGAATAGAGCAATAGGGTGACAACGACTACTAGTACTATAAATTCTTGGAAGTTCGGATGGTCAAACTACCCGAATGGTTAGAACATCTCAAAATACAAACATAGTTGCAAGTTTCAGTACAGGCTTATTTCAGAGAATTTGATATAATAATATTTCAATACATCGCATTTAAAGAAAATATCATTAGATAATAAATACAAATTTAACAGGTTTCAACAGAATACTCATTCAGAACTTTTTAAATGTAAGCGTTTGTAGTATGACTATAGAGTATATGCCTCGGTTTAATTTCGCAGGAATGATAAATTATTATAATCGTTTTATTAAAGAAGCAAGTTGTGGCGTTATAGATAGAAGATTCTGGTATTTGATTCACAACATTTATTACACAGAAACAAAATGTAAAAATATAAAATTCAGAAACGTAGAAATTAAAACAACGAAGAAATCTGTTCAGACACGCGAGTGAACACGCGGATGACTGCTTAACCAGTGACTTTTAAAACTTGAAAAAACATTAAAAGTATATTCGCACCCCATCACTGTTTATTCAACTAGCAGGTCGCCGAAGGATACCGCCTCTATTGACGCATCGGCATCACACACACACGCGATCGGAAGGAGCCGCTAAATACAGGGTGGCGCACGTTACAAAGTCTAATATTAAAGCCATTGTATGAAGTTTTAGAGAACAATGTTCAATTTAAGTGGACAAATGAATTTGAAAACGCGTTTGTTGCAGCTAAAAAAGCTTTCCAGGAAGAAGTATTTTTTTTAAATCCAAAGTTACCGTTAACAGTAGCTACCGATGCGTTAAAGGAAGGCTGTGGTGCGGTGTTATCCCATTTAATTCCCGACGGTTTAGAATGGTCTATTAAGTTTATTTCGCATTTAATTAAGAAGACGCAATGTAAATATCCTATGGTAGATAAACTTTTGGTATTGTTTATGCTATTAATGCTATTAATTGTTTTACAATGTGTTCTTAAAACTATATACATTGTAGTCAGTTATTAACCGACACGAAGGTTGCGAATATATCAGAAAGTTGCAGTTTAGATGTTTTTTATTTACACGGTCGTTACAATGTTAATATTTACTCCTAATTGTTTCAAATCGTTGGTTCCTATAAGTGCGTCGAATTTTTCATGTCACTTCATAATTCCAAGTTTATTGGGGTTGAATAATATATTTATACCTTTCAGTAAAGGATAATAAAGTTTATATTTTTCGCTCCTAGAAACTATTGCAGATTTTACTCCAAAAGGTTGTTCAAAAATGTACTCATCAGGAAAGCAAAATGCAATTTCGGGGTTAATTATAGAATAGTCTGCACCAGTGTCAATTAAAATTTTTAAGTCGTTGGGCAATATTATAAATGGCAATTTTGGCATACTAGCGGCGTTATTTAAGTCAACTATGTCGTCGGATCTGAAGAGGCTGTCTGTTGAATATTTTCATTTTTGTCTTCATAATTTTCTTCAGTGTCGTAATTTTCTAAATTTTGTTTAGAGATAGATTTACTCTTTCATATTCGTTAATTCTTCAGAGATTAAATTTGACAGACCAGTACTTTTAAAATGATTTAACGAATGGTTGACTTGGTCGGGTTATACCAGGTGTATATGCATTTCGTGTGCTTATCGACATTGAGGTCGGTTTTGGTATTTGATGTGGGGTTATGACGTTCTTTTTGAAGACATTACTCGGAGGTTTCCCAAATACTTGTTAATTAATACACAAATGTTGTTTTATTGGCCTACATTGGATGTTTATAGGTGGAAAAGGTGTAGTGGGTGTAGTAAAAGGATTGTAATTAAATTTTGGTTGTGAGGTAGTCGGCTGAATGAAAAAAGGTCGAGTAAATTAAGTGGGTGTAGGTGTAAGCATTCTGGGATTGGGTTTTACGTCCTTCTGATGCTTTTGGTAATACAAAATTCCTGACATACATTCTTCATTGTTACGAGTGCGATATTCTTCAAATATTTGAGTGTTTTAGTCCTATTATGCCTTAAGTGTGAGCGATAAGGCTCTCTATTTCCGGCTCTGAACCCCATCAAGGCCTTCTCTTCATACATTTTTGATTTTATTAGTAAACTGTCTTTATCATTTAAGCGAACAAGGTTGCTAATTTTTCCTCGATTTGGTCGTAATATTCGGATTAACTCCAGTTACGTTGTTGACTACATTGTGTTAGTTCTAATGCTAAAATTATTTTTAAGAACGTAGATCACCATATTATTATACCAAAGGCTCTTCAAAGAGTCCCAATTGTTGACAATTTTCGTACTAATGTGTCGAGTAATGCTACATTTTTGATACAACAACATATCGCCATGACGAGGACACTAATGTTCTGCATTGTTTTCAGTCCTCTGAAGATGGAATTTTCTATCACATTTCGATTTCGAATCAGCAAAATTGAAATAGAATTTTCACGACGTTTTCAGTACTTTTCCGGATGAAACAACTATCAAAATGCCGTTACCGATCCTGTACGCAGCGCCAGTTATTTTTGTTTAAAGTAAAATCTGTTTTATTTAAACCAAATTTCAAAATTGGCTCATAAAATATTTCGAGGACCAACACTTTTATAAGTGAAGAAATAATTCTTGACACGAGTATTTATAACAGTGTTCAGCTGAGATTTTAAAAATGCAACGCAGTGCATAAGTTGTACGATAGTTTCGTTATATCAAAATAAAAAGCAATATATAACTCGCGAAAAGAAAAGCGTCTACATTTGATTCGTCGGGCTGGATCAAAAATGAACAATTAGGTGTTATTTTGTGTTTTTTCTGTGAAGAGAGGAAGTCCACCTCTACGACGTCCTCGTAACTAGAGGGTGGAAATTGGTCACAATTCCACAGCGGAAGCAAGGTAAGCGCTACTTTCCTTTTTTCCAAAATGTTAAGAGAGCAAATGCTTCTGTTATTGCAATTCGTAAATTCATTGTGGCGGTAATACTACCAGAATTTTAAAGGTTAATTAAACAACGCATTAATACATTTGATGAGAATCAAAACATTGTTGAACTAAAAGTTCGGATGAATGAAATATATAGAATTTGGTAAAAATACGAAAAAATTAATTGGAAAATAATAATAATACAGCTGTTCAAGAATTCATAAAATTAAATATCTGTTGAAAAAAGATCGGTTGTCTGTAAAGTCGGTTTACTAACGATAGTTGAACGTGACAACGTCATAAGAAAATACTGATGGAATGGTTTCATTTTTCAAAAGAAAATTTTAATTTTATTTGTTTGATAGATATTTTGTATGGATTTAGAGAAGGAGGTAAGTGGAAATCACAATTGAATTGATCAAGTTACATTTATTTGTACGCAGCAATACAATTATGTCAATTTTTATTTATTTTTTTTTCCTATGTACATAGTTTTTACAAGTATGAATGTGCTTTGAGCAATTGTTTTACAACTTTTATTTACAACTTTTAAACATCATTAAAATTTTTGTAACTCTAGCTTCAATTCGACAATATATCACTGAACATATATTTAATATCGAAAGAATCATTACCTTTATCGCCGCAATTATCGTTGCTATAAACAATTGACACCACATTCACTTTTCACTGCACTTTATACTTGACGAAAACATGTAAATGTATTATTGTATAGCAGCTGTCCACGTGGACGTATCGCTCACTCAAGTAGGAGAGAGTACAGATGTTGAACGCTACCGAACGCGAAAGCCGATTGTGCCTCTTTGTCGCTCGTTCCGCGCTCTCGCTTGCACTTCAAGCCTTAAATGGAACGCCTCAGAGCGAGGTAACGCCGCATGAGTCATGTTTTTTCGTTATAAGACGTTGTCACGTCAAAAAAAAGAAGAAAACAATTTTTCCTCATAACTTAGTCGACATCAGTTTGTCACATATTTCAAATTTTCCTGTTTCCATTTACGATTTTACGCGATTGAATGCGTAGTCTTCCTCTTAGCTTGTATCTCCGCTCATGTGGGGAATTCCGCCGGTAATCGCAACCGCTGTCGTGTCATCTATTGTCGTTTCACTAAAATGTATGTCGGTATTGCCGATTTTGGTAATTTAAAAACTTTCGTTGGGTAAACTTAGGTGTCGCTGACGCTCGACATTTCATACCCTGAGTTGTATGCATGTATGCACTAGTATCATAGATAAAGTAGTATGGTAATTGATATCATTTGAAATCATATGAAAAATATTTTGAAATAAATCGAATGAACTGAGAATAATTTTGACAAAACAATTGCTGAATTTTAGAGTAACTGAAATAAACTATTTGATGGACTGTCAATATCTTTTAGTACAATTTAAATTAACTGTTGGTGGATTTATGTAAATAATTTTATTTGAACTTTTAAATATTGAATGGCTTGTACTTAGCAGGTATATTTTTATATCACTTAAATCGTTATTTTTATATAGCATATCTTTTGTTGTAATTAAATTCTTCAGTTAACCTTTAACTATAATATAATGGTAGATTGTTCAAGGTAAGCATACATACCATATGTGAATGTATGTATGCAAATAACTTATAAATAACTTTTTGTTCTTGTTCTTTTTTTAGGTCTAATTTGCAAGATAGCAATATGATACGATTATCTACTCCAGGCGTTACTGTAATAAAAATTTCTTTTTTTTTACATAAAGTGAGATAGTTTATTTTTAGACATTAGCCAAACAGCTCAACAAACTAACATTTTCTGTTGGTGTTCAGCAAGTTAGGACTATTAAAAATCCCCAAAATTTACCTTTACAACCTGTACCAAAATTGTCAGACACAGTAGAAAAATATCTTAAAAGTGTTGCACCACTTTTAAGTCCCAGAGAACTATGCCAAACTGAATTGGTTTTACAAGATTTTTGCTGTCCAAATGGATTGGGAGAACAACTTCAAACGCTTCTTGAAGAAAAGCAAAAATGTTCTGAAAATTGGCTTTTGGACTGGTGGCTTGAAATAGCTTATTTAGGATATAGAGCTCCTGTTGTTGTACATTCCAGTCCAGGACAAGTTTTTCCACTTCAGACATTTTGCAGTGAAACTGCTTGGCTCAATTATGCTGCCCAAATTATTGCAGGAGCAGCAAGTTACAAAACAATTATTGATAAGTAATTTTTTTAAGCAAATTTTAAATTATATCTTGCACTTTTTAATATTATTACAGGAAACAGTTACCTGAAGAAAAAATGGGTAATGATCCTTTGGATATGAACCAATACAATCTAATCTTTGGAACTTGTCGGGTACCACTCCCGAATAAAGATAGCTTACAATACAATTCCGATTCAAAGCATATTGTTGTGTGCCATAATAATCAAGTAAAGAAAGAGTCATTGAATTTGCTATAATTCTTATTAATATTGTGATTATTGTTTAAAGTTTTATCAAGTACAGCTTTTTGATACAAAAGAATGTAATATGCCAAGTGTAAAACAGCTGGTTACTGTTTTAAAGCAGATTGTGGACAAATCAAGGTGTATGGATGACCCAGTTGGTATATTATCAGGGGCAGATAGAGACTCTTGGGCAAAAGCATATCAGAATTTAGTATCAGGTGGTTTTTCATTAGAAATTGTGTATTTGTTGTTTATTAACCTATTGTTTTAGTTGAGTACAACAGATGTTCTATTGCTCAGATTCAAAAATCCCTATTTGTGGTTTGCTTGGATCAGTGTGTTTGTCCTGATGGGCAGGAGAGTAGAAAAACTCTTGCAGGGAAACAACTAATTCATGGAGGTGGACCTAATTATAATGCTGGTAATCGTTGGTTTGATAAAACAATTCAGGTAATTATTCATTGCATTATTATAGTTTAAATATTGGATACATTGATCTTTTAGTTTGTAATATCAAAAGATGGTATATGTGGCTTAACATATGAACATTCTCCAAGTGAGGGGCAACCTGTAGCTAATATGGTTGATTATATCAATATATTTATGTAAGTTTTTATTTTTGTATAGAAATAAGGTGTTTATGCATATAGTTGTGTTTATGAGATAATGTTTAACAAAACTTAGGGGCTGTCCATAAGTTATGTAACAAAAATCCACCAATTTTCCCTATTCCCACCACGAAACAGGACTGCTACTCGTGAACTGGCTCCTTCCCATCCCTCATTATAAAAAACCTTAGGCTTCAATTAAAAAAAATGTTTTGCATTTCCAAAAATTCAATTTTAAATAAATTCTGAAATCGTTACGTAGCATCATAACGTCCTGCTGGATTCCCCCCCTCCTAACTCAATTCGTGTCATTTTATTTATGGAACGCCTCTAATGCGTTGTGTGGATAAAGATGAATAGAATTAATTTCAAGCGGTTAGAGTTATGCCCCTTTACCTTCACACGGTTGGTGTACAGCCGCGGAGTAAGAAAATGTAACGCGTCGGTAAATTCAAATCAATTGGATTATTATCAATAATTCCATATACTGACACGTTTGATGTATCGAAAGTGATTAACCCGTCAAATTATAAGTACCGGTAATGTTACACGTTACGTATAATGGCAAAAAATGAGACAAAATCTTCTATCTGACATTTTCTTATCAATAACAACAAATAACACGACGATAAACCTCTAAACACATCAGAACACACGAAACACCGTTCCTGTTATTAAAAAAGCAGTAATTGTATGATGACGTATGGTCTGTTTTATTTTACAAAAAAATGTTGAAGTTATCAACTGCTGTCTGAACAACTCACAACATCAATTTCATCTCTCACAGTCTTCTGTCTCATTCACTTACTCACTTTTCATAATTGGAGGTTCGGGTGTCTTTAATTGATTATCTATTTTTTTTTTTATGTTTTCGTGGAAGAGGGGAAATCTTCAAAAGATACCCAGCCGTCCGTACGACTGGGTAGTGTCGGATTCCCGAGGAAGAAGTCCTCGGACCTACCGACTAAAACCCCTCTACCTCAGGCCGTTCTAGGATTTCAAAATAATTGTTAATTACTAATAATAGCAACTGATAACAATTCTATTGTTTTTTGTTTATTTTCATGTTCGCTAGCAATCCCATGGCTATCTTCGCTAGAAATTCGATTATTTTAGTTACTTAAATACGTACAATAAAAGCCATAAATAACAAAAAAAACTAATAGAAAATAGAGAAGTGTAATATTGATAGATAGAAGGAGAAATTCTACAATTTAATCTGAAAAAATATACATGATATTTCATTACCCTGTATAATAATAAACAACTTTTAACGAAACTGTAGTAAATGATGCCACCATGAGACACCCTGTATATGTATATGTATATATATCCTAATACATTATGATGTGTACCTACACAAGTTTACATTGCAGAGAGAAAGAGGAAGCAAAAAAGATACCAGACAATTTAAATCTAGGCTGTGAAGTGGTTAAACTTCCCTTTACCTTAAATGATACAGATCGACTGAATATAGCAAACGCACAATGTCAGTTATTTGGGTAAGGTGAAAATCAATTTTTTAAGTAGTGAGATTTCATAGTAATTATTATGTCAATTCATTCTAGATTGGCAACTGGATTGGATTTATGTGTTCTCACTTTTACTGCTTATGGTAAAAATTTTATAAAGAAACAAAAATTAAGCCCAGATAGTTATCTTCAAATGGCTTTTCAGTATACATACTTCAGGTTTATATTTCTTAGCAATGTAAACCTATTTCAGTAACATATTTAACCTTGTAGAATGTATGGCAGAATTCCTCCCCAATATGAATCAGCAGCATTAAGAAAATTCCTTCATGGTAGAACGGAAACTATTCGTTCTTGTTCTTCTGAATCTTTGAATTTTGCATGCACGATGTGCAGTAACGCCCCCGACCCGGTGAAAGCTAAAGCATTAAGAAGTGCAATAGATGGACACAAGAAGTACACTGTTGACGTAAGTAAAACTGTTGTAGTTCAATTTGTAAAAGAACTAGTCCTATTTAAGGTTTCCTAACTAAGATGCAAAAACTTATTTCCTATAAGGGAATGCTGAACAGGTCGTGAAAATTCATTTTACATTTTTTATTTTCGACATTTCCTAAAGTGACGATTTTGCATTAATTTTTTTTCATTCACCCCTTATAGTATAAATTGTAGTTTCAATAAATTTCAAAAGCGTTTATAGGCTATTGAATAGAAATTTTAGTATGGAACTATCGCTTTAAAGGGGTTTCCTGATTGAATATGGTAGTTTTGCCTCTAAAGATGATAAAACCACAAAATGGCCTTTTGTAAGGGGTGCGTTAATCTTATAAAAGGCACCTCTGTCAGTTTTTTCCAAATAACTCAACGAAGCAATTTTCTAGATTTTTACTAGAGTACTTTTTTTTTGAAAATTAGATTTTCCTTCGAAATTTTTTACTTTAAAAAAGTTAAAAATATATATAAAAAAATAGAAAACCTTTTTTTTTTATTATGTTTTGTACGATGAAAAATCACTGAGATATGGATGCTCAAAGTTGCCTACTTATTGTCATATTTTTTTTAATTTTTGAATCATTTACTCATTATTTGTACTATAAAACACTTTTTAATGTAAATTCCTACAATTTTAAGATAAATTATTACTACTCTTGAGTTTTGAGGTGTATGTTTGGATCTCCTGCTGTGATCAGTCTCTAGATACATTTAATAAAAGAAGAAAAGGTGTTTTCGTTTTTTGAGATTTTCTGCTTCGTCTTTTTGATTATATTCGAAACTAAAAATGGTAAAAAGAAAATTAAATTAAATATTTCAAGGAAAATCCAATTTTCTAAAAAAATGTATTCATGTAAAAATCTCGAAAATTGTCTCGTTTTTGAGTTTAATTTAAACTACCATATTCATTCATAAAACCTCTTTAATGCAATTGTTATATACTTCCTTTTCTTTTTGTCTCTATTCAATAACCTATTAGGTACTACTATAGGTTTTAACATGAAAAGGCGAGAATGTGTCATCCTTTCGTTTCGTATATTCCGCTTTCGGGCGACGCGTTTCGAGTCACGAAAATTTTACCTGTCATCTTTTATGCAAATAATAGTGCACAGCAGTGAATTTTTGCGTCTCGTTTCGTGCGTTTGGTAAATTGCATTATAATTCTCTGCGGATGGTAGGTAAATAACTTAAACCTAAAATTTGTGCACTACTCCCCGACAAAGAGACGGCAACTTACAAGAGATTGTAATATTCATTTCAACCAAGCGCTGGGGTGGAAAATTCATTTCAACCAGGTGCTGGTGTGGAAAATTCAACCACTTGGGATATGAAGAACCAACAAATTCGAGATCATTTAAAAATAGTAGCTGCTTTGGCACATGTACCAAGCGATTTTGTGTCGGATGGATGCTGATTTATAATGGAAACATCGCCAAGCGATGTACTTCTAAGGAAGTTCTATGATTACTTTGTCGACAATCAGTTTGTTCTGTAAGATTTGGGTAATCCTTGTTATGTATTAACGAATTTGACTGAAGTAGTTTATTAAGGTACCTAAACATAATTACCTAATTACCAAAACTAATGACGCTCGAAAAGATAACTTCATAAATATAATCTTATTTTGTTGGGGATCCACTTGACGCACCAACCGCGGCGTTTGAAAAGGGAACAAACCTTTCGTTTCTCAAAAGGATTAACTAGTATTTTTGGAAAGTTTCAATTACAATTATTTCAAATATCCTTATTTTATTGATTTGTTGTCGAAATGGGTTAATAACTACGAAACCGATTGTGTAGAAATCCAACTCGCACATAATCTCTTTACATTATATCAACTTTGGTTTGGTGAAGCGAATTACGCGTATAATAAGACTATTAGTAAAACTTCTTTGAATATAGCAATACTACTCTTTGTTAAAGGAAGTAATAATAAACAAATTATTAATTAATTAATAATACAATATTAATTTTTAGTCTAGGCCTAGGCCAATATTGTCATATCTACTTTAGAGAGGTCTCTTGCGGTACAAAATTGACAATAATTCTAGTAAACTGTTAGCATACAATACAAAACGAAAGTAATTAATTAAATTAATCTAATAGACTTTTANCATCAGCACCATCTCTATAAAGTTGACAACACCGACTGACAAAATAGTTTTTCTGTACCATGCAGTATGTCACAAAAAAATTAATTTATCTGCTTAATTTATTTGGCATATAATCACTTTAATATTATGTTAAAAGCGATTTTAAAATTTAGAATAACTTGCCCACATTTTAACTATAATTAATTAATTATTTAATAATATAATAACAATCAAGCCTACCTTATTAGATAATTGGGGAACATAGAAATGGCAGGGAATTATCACGGTAAGCCGCTTTACCATCCTGCATTTTCGTGATCTTGAATTCGACTCCCGACTCTCGACTTCTTGACTTGACTATGATTATTATTAATTATAATTATTGATTCCGCTATTTAAACGGTAACTAATTGAGTTACTAACACATTAGGTTAGATTGTATTTTTAAATAAATAATTTAGTTGTACCAACTTTGTACCAGTGACCTGAATATGAATTTATGGATTCTATGTAATAGTATGTTAGACATGACTTGAATAATAAAAGTGGTTATAAAGTTACGCAGTGTTTCTCGAATTATTAGTTATAAAGGACACAACAAATTGGTGACGAGATGAACAACGATCAAGCAGGAAACAAAAAATAAATCGATCAAGTCAGGAAAAATAAAAAAAAAATAATCACGGCAAGGATCAAATATAATCTTCAATTTCAGCGTGTAGCACATGGCAGGAAGAAAACCATAAACCAAAAGTCCACATGTCACAATATACAGACTGTACTCACGTTCGGTTCAGAAACAGGGGTATTATCAATGAGCCAAAAAAGCAAACTGCAAGCGATGGATATGAATGAAGTATCTCAAATGCATACAAGGAGTAAGACAGAGAGAATAAGAAACACGAACATCCGGCAAGAATTAGGAATTTGTCCAATACAAAACATTATAGAGCAAAATCAGCTGAGGTGGTTCGGACATGTGCGCAGAATGAATAGAGAGACACAAGTAAGGAAAATATGGAAAACTAGGATAATAAAGAGGAAAAAGAGAGGTAAACCAAGGAACACACGGACAAACGAAGTTTATCTTCAAGAAGAATGATATGACGTTACACCAGTGGGAGGAGCTGACGCAGGATAAGAACAAATGGAGAAGTCTAATCAACAGCATCATTAACATCCATAGAACCAATTATCATCAGAAACAGTGATTAACGTTTTCAGCAGGCCATATCCTTACACCTGTTGGTAGAAAGGCATACGTTAATATACATAAATACTATAAAAATTGTAATTATTGTCAGTTTTTTATTTTTCATACATCGCCTAAAGAAGCAGAAAATATTTGCGAAACGTTGCGTAAAATAATAAGGTGTATTAACTAACCTTCCCGTTCCCCTACAATCATCGGAAAAATAATTATTATTATCAACTAGTTCTTTCCCCCTATCAGTCACTGTGAGCTCGAAACTGTAAGCACCATTGCTTCGAATGGTCGAAATTCACTTTTGTGAACAATACTATGACGTAGTGTCAGCCATCAATCTTTTCTAATTGTTGCTGTTGTCGGCCATCATTCTTTTTCAATTGTTGTCGCA